TCTCTCTCTCTCTCTCTCTCTCTCTCTCTCTCTCTCTCTCTCTCTCTCTCTCTCGTTGTTGTCATTGTTACTGGATTGTTACTGGGGATTGAACCCATAGCTACTTTACCACTGAGCTTTTTATCCCCAGTCCTTTTTATTTTTTAACACAGAGTCTCCCTAAATTTCTAAGGCCCCAAACTTGTGATCCACCTGCCTCAGCCTCCTGAGCTGCTGGGATTACAGGCCTGTACTACTGCACCTGCCTCATTTTTCTTCTTCTGGGAAAATTACCTTCAACATGCAAATAGCAAGTACTTTCCTTTTCTCTACTCTGGCCATCTGCTACTTTGCTTTGGTTGGAATTTACTCAAGGGAATTTCTCAGAAGAGAACTCCTGCCCTTGTTGTGCCCTTCCTCCATATGCATAATATCTACCATGGATTCCTGGAAGAACAGTGGAATAGCCAAAAATCTTTTATTTTTAATTAAAGGCAAAGAGAGATCAGGGCATTGACTCATTACCATCTCTTTTACAAATAAAATAGCATAAGCTAAACCAAAATTAAATAAACCCAAGAGATTTTCACTGGACTCCCTCAGTGTTCTTTCTTGTTCCTTTCTCACTTGTGTGGTTGACACTTCATCAGCACTTACATGTACTAGAATTGTTTTATTTATAATACCTTTGCATGACGCTGTGGAAAATAAAAAGTACCTGTGATCTTCCTGAGTACACAGAATTAGTCTATAAAAACTATTATCACTTTAACTGGAGCTATTGGCCAGAACACATACACAACAAGTTTTCACATCACTTGGGATTCCTTATACCATTGTGGCTGGGTTCCAAGGAGGAGCATCCTCAGAGACAGCCAGGAAGAAACTGTACCACCTTCCATGGTGAGCCTCAGAAGTCACTAAGTACATTCTGCTGCATTCTGTTCAGGTCCACCTTTGAGAGGATGAGACCTAGGTAGCCCCTCAGGGCCTCGTGATTTAAAAGGGCCTCTTGTTTCTTTAACACCTTGCTGTCACCACCTTGAAATTCTTTAATGATATCTGGACAGGAGCCCTTCGTTTTCATTTTGCACTGGGCCCCCAAAACTAGGTTGCCAGTTCTGATTTTTTTTGTCCATGAAGCCACAAAGACCTGCCCAGACTCATAGGGTGGGAATATCAAGTTAGTCTCCTTTTTTAATTGGTACATTATAATAATACATAACCGTGGGGCTCATTATGCCATATTTGACTACCTTTTTGATGAAGCAGCAGATTTCTTGGACTGTTCTTGGAAATACTGTTGTGGCCTTTTTTTTAGAAAATGCTACCTGCCACAGAGGATTGATTTATGGAGAAGTTAAGACAAAACTGAACTTTTAAAAAACTTTTATAAACTTCCCAGCCTCCTGCAAAGACACCTTTGGGTCCTCCCTGCTCCACAAAACCCTCCTAAAGAGAAGCAAAGGCAGCTCAGCCCAGTGGCACATGCCTGTAATCTCAGAGACTCGAAAGGCGGAGAGGAGAATCACAAGTTCAGGGCCAGCCTTAGCATTTAGTGAGACGCTGTCTCAAATTTTTTTTAAAAGGCTGAGAATGTAGCTCAGTGGCAAAGCACCCATAGGATCAATCCCAATACCAAAGAAAGAGAGACAAAGGTTATATCAAAGTGTCCGTATGTCCATTCAACAAATCCTGATTGAGTGCACACTGGGGGAGCATTTATAAATGACTCAGAGACCTTGTCCTCAATAGGCTGGGGCAAGAGTCCCAGCAATGGCTGGCACAAATGAAAGGAGAAGAGAAAGCAGAAGGTAAAGGACCAAGAACCCTGAGAACAAAGTCCTAGGGATGTCCAAGAGAGCCAGCTTCCTGGAGACATGGCATCTGTGTGGCCCCTCCCATTCATTCAACAACATCATTCATTCGTTTACTGAACAAGTGTCATGTATGCCATTTGTAAGTTCCCACCCTGGTGGAGCTTGCTTTACAAGGCACATACCTGTTTGTCTCATCTACATCTGATTTTAATGACTTTTGGCTTTAGACTTTTGAATTTGGGCTGGAACAAGAACTTGGGGATTATTGAGATAAAGTGGCTATATTTTGTTTGTACAAAGGACATGAATTTGGGGGAAGGGATGTCATGGTCTGGATGTTGGTGTCCCTAACAAAATTTATGTTGAAATTAATATCCAATATGTTAGTATTAAGAGATAAGATCTCAGGCTGGGGGTGTGGCTCAGTGATAGTGCACTCGCCTGGCATGTGTAAGGCACTGGGTTCAATTCTCAGCACTACGTATAAATAAATAAAGGTCTATCAACAACTAAAAAAAAAATTTTTTTWAAAAGACATAGGGTCTCTGGGGGAGTGATTAAGTCATGAGGCTCCACCCTCATGAATGGGATCAGTGCCCCTGTAAAAGAGGTTGGAGGCGGCTGCCTTTCCCCATCTGCCATGGAAGGACCAGGGAAGGCAGCACCTAGGATATGGAACTGGAGGGTATTATGTTAGTGACATAAGCCAGACACAGAAAGATAAATGCTGCATGTTGACTCATATGTTAGTGAGAATAAAATCGATCTCAAAGGCAAGAGCAGAAGAGTGATTATAAGAGGCTGGAAAGGTTAGGGAGGCAGAGGATAGAGGATAATGGGATAATGGTACCAACATTCAGTTAGATCAAAGTAAGTTCTAGCATCCTACAGCACAGTAGGGAGACTGCAGTCCACTACCAGATTCTTTATAAAAAACTAGAAGAGAGGAATTTAAAGATTTCAGACACAAAGAAATAATGGAAGTGTTAATTATCCTGATTTAATTTTCCTGATTGCATCTTATAACATTACTCCATTGATACATACAATTATTATGTATTATTTTCAGGAATTTTGAGCCAGTCTTTAAACCAATTTTTCTCGAAATTGGACATGGGAGAGCATTTATGCCATGATAAGGGAATACTGAGCTTAGGATTTTAGAACTGTTTTATGTCAAAATAAATGACATTTATTTATTTTTTATCATTGTTGCTTTGTTTATTATTTACTACTGGAATATTTTAACAATTTAAGTTTTTCAGTGCATCTTAATTATACAAAACAATGGGGTTTTGTGGCACATTCATGCATGCAAATAACATATGTGATCATATATGATCCCCTCTCCCTGATCGTCTCTCCCTGATCCCCTTCCACTTCTCTAATGGTCTCCTTGCTTCTTTCACATCTTTTCCTCCCCCTAGATTCCACATATGAAGGAAAACAAAACCCTTGTCTTTCTGTGTCTGGCTTATCTTGCTTAACATTATGATCTCCACCCCCGCCCATTTTCCTACAAATGACATGATTTCATTCTTCTTTATGACTAACACTGGGTTGTGTATATGTACACCACATTTTCTTTATCTATGCATCTATTGCCAGCATCTAGGCTGATTCCACAAGATGTCTATTGTGAATTGTGCTGCAGTAAGCATGGGTATGCTGACTGTAATTCTTTTGAGCATATAACCAGGAGTGGCCTAGCTAGATCTCGTGGTGGTTCTGTATTTAGATATCTGAGGCACCTCTGTACTGATTGACTAATGTATTAATCTACATTCCCTCCATAGGTATATAGGGTTCTTTCCCCCCCTGCATCCTCTCCAGCATTTATTGTTTTGTTGTTGTTGGTTTTGTATTCTTAGATGAAAGCCATTCTGAGGGGAAACAGAATCACAAAGTAATTCTGATTTGCATTTCCTAGATGGCTAAAATTTGGAACATTTTTTTCATATAATTATTGACCATTCTTACTTATTTTGAAAAGTGTCTGAAGAAAAGATATTTCTGATGGGCTCAACAAACCTTTGGAGGTACATTAGCAGCATGAGGAATTTAGTCATTGCTGTCTGTCACCTTCGGACAAGTATCAGGAGGGTCAGGATACGTTTTGCGCTTCTTTGCATTGTATGATGTTTTAGTATATTTTAAAAATCGAATGAAAAAATACTTCGGAGATGGAAAGTCCTGCGTGGTGATAACCACCCACACGGTGACGGCCGCAGCTGGCTGACCAGGGAAGGACACTCAGTCCTTGGGGCACGCGCACAGGTGAGCGCTCCCAGGCCAGCTGCCGGGCTGTGCGCGTGCGCACAGGTGTGCTGCCGCCCTCCCTGCCGCTGAGTTTGGCCACCTGCCCAGGAAACTTGTCGCTCTCGGGCGGGGACACGGAACCGTGCCATGGAAGATTCGCTGGGGACTCGCGAGCCCCGGGTTCGACCGAGAGAACGGGACCCGGACCGGCACCCCCGCCCGGACCGAGACCACCACCCTGAGCGACCGCGGGACAGAGCCAGGGACCGGCGCAGGGAAAGGAATGGGGACGCGCGGAGGGACGGGGACCGGCGAGGGGATCGAGACAGGGACCGGCGAGAGGATCGGGACAGAGGGAGGGACCGAGACCCCCGCCAGGACAGACACAGGGACGCGGGCCGTCTTTCAAGTGAGCAAAGAGGTTGGGAAAAGTCCCGCCAAAGCCGGACGCGGGACACAGCCCCCGGACCGACCTGGGACACAACTCGGGGACCGACCTGGGAGGCAGCCCCACCCCCTTGGCCCGGGCCTTGGGAAACCCCGGAGCCTCCCGCCCCGAGGAAGGAGAACTTCGGTCGCCATGCACCACAAAGGTGAGGGGACTGCTGGGGACACGGGCCCTGCGACCACGGCCAAGGCCAGCCTGCGCTGCCCTGGCTTCCTAGGAAGCCCATTTAAAAGAGGAAATACCATTTCTCTCTTTTGTGCCCTCGGAAGTGACCCTGGAGAGAAAGGAAAGCGTAGGGTGCCCCCACCAATCCCAGATAAAGCAGAAAGCACTCCTCTTGGCAGGGGCAGGGCTGGGACCAGGTGAAGAGGAAGAGGGACCCTGGACAGGAAAAGCCAGGTTCCCGTGAAGCTCCTCCCTGGCACGTTCCCTAGCCTATCTCAGGACCGCCCCTGAACTTCAGACCCTGACTCTTCTAACTCTCCTCTTCCTTCTTCCCTTCCTCCTTTAATTCTTCTTCCTCGTCCTCTTTGTACTGGGGATTGAACCCAGGGGCGTTTTTCCCCTGGGCCACATTCCCAGCCGGCCAGTTTTTTTAAAAAAATGTTTGAGGCAAGGCCTCGCCAAGTTCCTGACACTAGCCTTGAATTTGCCACCTTTCTGTCAGCCTCCTGAGTTTCTGGGCTTACAGTCAAGCACCACCATACAGCTCCTCCCCAACTTTCAAAGTCCTGGTCCCTGGTGTTCAGGTCCAAATAAAGTCAGCCCCATGAAGAGTTAGTGATTTAACATGTTACCCCTTTAGGGCTATATGCATTTCAAAAACAGCTGGGAGAGAAGCTACACTTTTAACCAAGGAACTAAATCTACCCAAACTTTGTTCACGGAAGGACATGGATTTGTTTCCCTCTTGTCAGTGAGGTCTTCAAGGCAGCCTCTTTCAAATCTCACATTGAGACCCCACTTTCCTTAATGAACAAACTTTGCTATCCCTACCTTGAAGAACAAGGAATTCCCATAAGCTCTGGTAGAACAAAGATTTGATGTTCTGGAAGATCATGTGCCCTAGGGGAGAGTGGAGATGGAAGACTCAGGCCACCCCTTGTCCCCATGTGCCCGTATAGGAAGCTAACATTTCATCCAAGTTCACAAATGTTACTGAATGTGCAAATAATGTGCCCAGTGCTGTGGACTGGATAGATAGGATATTGTTCCTGCCATCCCCAACAAGGAGGCACACAGATCCTGTGGCAATGATTGCCTCCTGCCTCCACTGTGGGACTCAAAGGCTGAGCCCAGTCTCTCSAAGTTGTGTCCACACAGCTGTAAAGCTACTATCCTGAGTTTATGTTACATTATCTAAAACCAACTAGTATGACAAAGGTTGCGCCCAGATTGGCACTAGCTATTGTTTCTTTGACTAAAGCCACATTGTACAGCAACTGCACGACTAGGAAAATCCAGGGCTGCCTTTTTAAGTTTCCTTATAAACTAGAGTCCCAGTTTCCCCACCCCAAAGTGAGTGAAGGAAATACTTTCATTTTTTTGCTTCGTTTGCTCACCACCAAAGGGCAATTTATTCCTGTCTGTTTTCTACTTAAGCATTTATTTAATGGATAGGATGGCGGGACAGGGCTGCAGAGATCTACCCTCTTAGTGTTCACAGCCTGGTATAGGAGAATGACGGGTAAGCAGGTCAGATGCAGCACAGTGTGAAATGGACTGCAGGAGAAACTTGGATTAGGAAAGAACAGAGCTGGGCTCCTGCGCTTTCCAGAGGAAAGGACCACAAGCTGAGTTCTAGAGAAGCCTTCCGTGGAAGGAAGTGTCTGCAGTGACCCAGAGGCATGGGAGAGTACGTCATCTTTTGGGGCGAAGGTCAGTTTCACTGAGTCTGGGTCTGTGAGCCTGAGGCTATAAGTGTAGAGAAATAAGCAAAGTCCTACTGTGCAATACTAAATGTTTAAGGATTTCAAATCTAAGATAAGTTCTGTGTTCTAGAAAGATCCCTGGAGCCTAGCAAGTAGAATGCAGCCTCCTATTGAATCTTAGAACCCAGAATGTGCTAGATAAATGTGGGAGAAAGAAGATAGAAAGTGCCAGGATTAGTGGAGGAAGAGAAGACAGGAAGATCTCAAAAATTGTTTGTAGTTCCCATCTTCCTGGAGAATTTCCACAGTAACCACAGACAGAAGAGCATGCCAACCTGGACTCCAGAGTCTTGTAAATACACACTAGTTCTGAGAGGCCTGGTCCTTGCTGAACTGAGAACCTCAACTCTACAGACAGCTCCCAGCTCCCTGGTTAGGCAGATTCCACAGGCAGATGACCTAGCATCCAAGGCAGCACTTAGGTGTTCGGGATTACAGGATTGGTCTTGGGGTTACCTAGCCATGTTGGGTCACATGTTTAGACGTTTGGTGGCATCACTAAACCAAAGAAGCCCCTGAAGTCTGAAATACTGTGGCAGAGCTTGTTTCCGTAACATTCAGGTCCACCGCAAAGAGTCAAAAGAGTTCTAATACCGACTGAGCCACTGAATTAGAGGCCCATTCCTAATGGCTGTGTGTGCTTTTCAGTTATAGTGAACCCACCTCGGGGAGATACGTGCCCTCGCACCCCAGGCCTGGACTAGAGGAAGTGGAATATTACCAGTCGGAGGCGGAGGGGCTCCTGGAATGTCACAAATGCAGATACCTGTGCACAGGGAGAGGTGAGCCTTTATGGAGTCCGTGTACTGTTTGCTGTTGCAAGTGGTCTGAAAGTGGGGGACAGACTTTCCTTTGGGGTTCTAGTGTTTTCATTTCCATACCTATCTGAGGTTCTTGCTTTCCAAAAAAAGAAAGAAAGAAATAGAAACTATTTTATGAGCTATCATTCTCCAGACAAGAAACCAGAGAAATAAAGTGATTTTTAAGAATATCCATAGCACTCATATAAATATGCCCTGTGCAGAAAAACGTTGGACCCCTCGCATTTTCATCTCCATACCTGCATGAGGTTCTGTCTCTCCGAGCAAAGGAAAGTGTAGAACAGGCTGCTCTCCTAGAGCACTGAGCAGCCATGTTTGCAGTTTCCAGACTCCAGGGGGAGCCCCAAGGGCTGCAGGTGCAACTGGCCGTGAGCTGCCAAGTGTTGGTGGGGGCTTCTCTGACAAGGTAGCTGAGTTTGGAGAGAAGAAAAATCACCCCAGTGGGCCATCAGGTTGCAGCCCAGACCACATAGACAGGAGCAAATGGTCTTCTTGGAGCCCTGACGCCCAAATACTTCATCAATGGCTTTTGATTATGCCATTGGCTGAGATGCACTGTAAGAAATACATTTTACATTAAGACCAAGTTCACACGCACTAACAAAAATGCCATGAAACTCCATTTGCCTTACTACATATCAAACACACTGGTATTTTCTGTTTTGTTGGAAGCAAAAACCAAAAAACCTATTTATTGAGTACATGAAGTCTGCAAAACACTGAGCTAATATTAAGTGTCAGCTCTCAGGGTTCTCATCTTAGCATGGGTCCTGCCCGCGCCAGCAGTGAAGAAAGTCTGGTTCATCAGGGTGAGCCCTAATGGCATGCGGGATTTGTAAGCAGTCTTCCTGGGCTATGTATGAATTAGGGAGAAAACAGCCCAGCCTAAGGGAAGAGATCATGGAGCTCCTAACTGAAAATGTATCTTAGGGTGATTACAAAGATGTACATGATTATAGAATTATAAGGAACTTTAATGAAAGGCCTCTAGGCAATCCCAGTGTAGGGATCATTACCTTAATTTACATATGTTGGTGCAGCCTCCTTGCCTTTTAAGTCTCTCAACTCCTGAGGCTCAGAGAGGCACAACAAGTCATCCAAAGTCACACAGCTGTTACATGAAGGAGCTCCGATGGAAATTTAGAGCCTGACCCTAAGTCCTCAAGTAGTTTACTTGCTTAGTTTCTTCTTTTCTTGATCATCTAAATAACAGGAACAAGCCAGAGGCTGGCTGACAGGTTTCTCCCTAGAGACATTTTTCTTTTGAGATTGATTTACCAAGACGAAAGGGCAGGGCTTAGAGCCTCAGACTGAAACAGACCCTGTGGTTTAGGCTTCATTGCTTCTGGCACTTTGGCTTTGAGCCTGGAGGTTGGGTTTCTAAGTCAAGGTAGTGAAAGAATAGTTCAGCCTCCAGAAACTAACAAATGAGGGCTTGAAAGGAACTCTGGATGGACAGAGACCCATAGAAATACACAATACGGCATTGTGTTGAGCGAAACAACCATTGAACACCGGGAACTTGACTCAAGCAGGAAATACATGCCTGGATAAAGGTCAGCTGAAGCTCTTTAGACCCACCTTTGAGTAGATCCTCTGACTTCCTTATCAGTGAAGCCATGCCCCACTCCCAACAGACTTGCAAAAATTGGGAACAATTGTAGCCCTCCTTCTCTTTCTAGGGAGACTGGGCTGAAATCTGGGCTGTGATCTAACTCAGAAAGCTCCATGGATTACTAGGAGGCCAACAAAAAGAGGCAGGCCCCAGATTTACTTTTACAAGCAAGAATTGTCCGATACTAAAAGCTTTTAGTATAGAGATCAGACTGAAGCCAAGTCACAGGCACATATCAGGCCACCAGAAAATCCTGTGCATGTGTAGGTTGTGCTCCTTTATTATTGAGAAAGACCGGTAAGCCGGCAGGAAGGTGCATTTCCCCGGCTCCTGTTTGCTCCCCACAGCTTCTCCTTTCCCTTTTGTTTTTTTCCCTCTTGCCTGAGACCCTTGTGCTCAAATCATGGGGTTTGCATTCAGCCTCTCRCCTTAACTGCAAAGCACGTTTCAAAGGTTAATCTTCAGCTGCTTGACAGGCTGTGCAGGAAGATTGTTTGAGCCCACAAGTTCAACAGCTTGGGCAGCTTAGTGAGAGCTTACCCCCCCCCMAAAAAAAAGGGTTATTTACTCCGACAGTTGTCATTTCTGAGTCAGTAGTGCTGATCTCTCAGAGTCTTGAGGTGTAGGTGCTGAGTTCCGAGTTTGTTTTTCAGAGGAGCGATTTCCTGACAAGGAACCTGAGCTGGAGGAGTTGCCAGCACAGTCCATCCTGGGCAGGAGGGGAAGGACAGGGGGCCCCACTGACAATGACGTTTATTTGTGATGGCTCTGAAAAGGTTCAGGGTAGAAGTTGTGGTCGTTTTCTAATTTACGCTCACACTCCCCTTTTTGTGTGTTCGGCTGCAGACTGCACCACCAGAGCTCCTGCAGTCCCCTTTATCCTAATGCTTATTGAACACCCTGTGCAGAACCTGTCTGTACTGAGATCAGATCAAGATTTCAAACTGCAGCTGACTTTAACAGTGTTAACTGATTAACAGATCTGAATGCCATGGCCAGAGTCCAAGCAAGGAGTGACCCTAGGGGAACTGCCCGGGTTTTGTTTTTCTGGTTTTATTTTGTCTTTTGTGTGGTATTGGGGACTGCATCCAGGTACCCTACACTGAGCTACATCTCTGGCTCCTTTCATTTTGAGACAGGGTCTCACTAACTTGCAATCCTCCTGCCTCAGCCTCCCAAATCACTGGAATTACAGGCACGTGCCACCCTGTCAGCTGAACCTCCGGTTCTTAGGACAGAGAAAGGTGCTGGCTCAGAACCATATTCCCTGGAGTTCTGAGAGGGCTGTCTACCTCAAGGAAAGCATGGGAGCCTCTGGGCTTTATTTTAAGGGTGCCATTGGCCATTTCCACAGTCCGAGGCATTCTTTTGTGGTTACACAAGTTTTTTTTTTTTTTTTTTAAAGAGAGAGAGAGAGAGAGAGAGAGAGAGAGAGTGTGTGTGTGTGTGTGTGTGTGAGAGAGAGAGAGAGAGAGAGAGAGAG